TCTACCACACACACAACGGCTAAATAAACATCTTTAATTTCCTTCAATTTGACAATAGAAGAGAAATAAATACTTCTAAAAATTTCTAAAAGCATACTCAGTGTTTTCGACTAAAATCGTCGATGTAGGAATTAAAATGTCGGTTAATTAGCTTAGGGCCTATTCTCAGCCGGAGCTAGCTGTAGATAGGCAGCCTAAGCCGGAGCTAGCTGTAGATAGGCAGCCTAAGTTTGGGACAGCCGGAGCTAGCTGCCATAAAAATCGGACCAAAACTGACAGGCAAAATGGCCGCCCCTGGTACTCAAATCTCGTAAAAAATAAGGTATGTGAATGTTGTTGACCCTGTAGAGGTCACACTTTTCTTCTGATTTTGATGAAACTTGAAATATAAGTTTATAACCCAAAGATCTTGGTTCATTTCGATATTCGCACATATTGGACCGTAACTTCCTGAATTATGACCCCTGATTGTACGGAAAATCGCGTTTTTAGCTTGTGGGCCCTACAGAGGTTATAATGTTTATCCGATTTCAAAGACAGGTTGCCAGGCAACGAAACATACGCCCACAAGGGTTGTCGCATATTTATACCTTTGTAGGTAATTGGGGCCTTTACAAGGCAGTTCCATACAGATCAGATTATAAATTTTGTCGTTTGTGGGTTTACAAGGTTCTACAAACTGAAATAAGGGTCTCAACTCTGGAAGTAATCTACAGAAATTGTTGAAATTTTACAGGCTTTTTCGTTTTACTAATTTAAATAATGCATATAAATTTCATTCAGATCACATGATCACTTTTGTCATTCAAATGTTCACAAGGTTCACAATCGTCATAACTCTAGAAATTATTGACTGAAATTGCTGAAATTCTATAGACCTCTAGTTTCACAAATTTAAATGATGCATTAAAAACAAGGGCCATAACTCTAGAAGTAATTGACGGAAATTCAATAGACTTCTTCGTTTCACTAATTTAAATCATGCATATAAATTTCACAAAGATCGGGTGATAACTTTTGGCGTTAGAGCATTCACAAGGTTCAATAAAGTGAAACAAGGGCCATAACTCTAGATGTAATTAACGGAAATTGCTTAAATTCAATAGGCTTCTTCGTTTCACTAATTTAAATCATGCATATACATTTCACAAAGATCGGGTGATAACTTTTGGCGTAAGAGCGTTCACAAGGTTCAATAAAGTGAAACAAGGGCTATAACTCTAGACGTAATAAACGGAAATTGCTGAAATTCAATAGGATTCTTCGTTTCACTAATTTAAATCATGCATATACATTTCACAAAGATCGGGTGATAAACTTTGGCGTTAGAGCGTTAACAAGGTTCAATAACGTGAAACAAGGGCCATAACTCTAGATGTAATAAACGGAAATTGCTGAAATTCAATAGGCTTTTTCGTTTCACTAATATAAATCATGCATATAAATTTCACAAAGATTGGGTGATAACTATTGGCGTTAGAGCGTTCACAAAGTTCAATAAAGTGAAACAAGGGCCATAACTCTAGACGTAATAATCGGAAATTGGTGAAATTCAATAGGCTTCTTCGTTTCACTAACTTAAATATTGCATATAAATTTCACAAAGATCGGATGTTAACATTTGGCATTAGAGCGTGCACAAGGATCAACAAAGTGAAACAAGGGCCATAACTTTAGACGTAATAAACGTAAATTATTGAAATTAAATAGGATTCTTCATCTCACTAATGTAAACAACATATATCAATTTTAAAAAATTGAATGATAACTTTTAGCGTTAGAGCGTTCACAAGAAATTGTGGACGCACTGACGGACGGACCGACAGACGGACCGACAGACGGGCGGACGCGGCGACGGCAATATACGTCCAGATTTCAATGTGGCCGTATAAAAAAAGTTTGAATATATCACCGTTACACCCTAAGGATGGTTGAATTCGAATTTCGTAAAAATCGGACCAAAACTTACAGACAAAATGGCCGCCCCTCGTACTCAAATAGCGTAAAAATAAGGTATATGAATGTTGTGGACCCTGTAGAGGTCACAATTTTCTTCTGATTTTGATGAAACTTAAAATATAAGTTTATAATCCAAAGATCTTGGTTCCTTTCGATATTCGCACATATTGGATTGTAACTTCCTGAATTATGGCCCCTGATTGTATGAAAAATCGCGTTTTTAGCTTGTTGTCCCTCTATAGGTCACAATTATTATCCGATTTAAAAAAAACGTTTGAATATATCACCTTTACACCATAAGGATGGTTGAGTTCGAATTTCGTGAAAATCGGACCAAAACTGACAGACAAAATGGCCGCCCCTCGTACTCAAATAGCGTAAAAATATGGTATATCAAGGTTGTGGACCCTCTAGAGGTGACAATTTTCTTCTGATTTTGATGAAACCTAAAATGCAAGTTTATAACCCAAAGACATTGGTTACTTTCGATATTTGCGCATATCGGATTGTAACTTCCAGAATTATGGCCCATGATTGTACGAAAAATCGCTTTTTGTTTAGCTTGTTCTCTACCCATCTCTTGCAAAATGTGGGCGTATCCTGCCTGGCAGCCGCTGGTTATGAATCTATGTGTATCCTAGAACACGAGGGTGTATATTTAAAGTGATTTTAACCATGATAAAGACTGGAATTTAATCATTCTTTTTGATGAATTTTCAAACTTTTCCTGTCTGTCTGGATGCTGGTTGATCTACGTGCTAAATTTAGGTAGGTGGGACCTTGCAATGATTTTATTCTATGGTAAAGGGGCAGTGGCGGATTAAGCTCCACCAAGGCCTGAGGCGGCAGTTGCTGGAGGGCCTATTTAGTTTTTAAAGTTAGAGCCAAGGTAGTTGCTAACATTAAAAATGGGATTCGTTACTGAGGTTATCCAGGGGCCTACAATCACGTCATTACTAGTATGACGTCTTAGACTATACTAAGCCAATTAAGTCGTTTGATATTGGTAATGTAACTTTATTATATGCCCATAAATGACGTCACGTGGATACAAATATCATTAAGCAAGACATAACCGAAAACTTACAAGGATTTAACGTACATTGTAGACCTACGTTTAAAAAATAAGATCAGATCTCCAAACAATAGGGCCTATTTAAAATGGCGTGGGCTTAATTAATTTCGGGTCAGGGCCTATGTTGATTCCCGTAATGATACCATAGTGAAACTAAAAATTGCTGTCGAGTCGAAGTCGAAGATTTTTAATAAGATTCAACATTAAATCTATTTTTAATAGCTCAGCGACTGTCGAGCGATTTCACTCCCTTTGGGAAATTGTAGGTTAGACACTCGACTAGTACTGGTGGTGATCTTGGTAGATGTCTGCGTTTATGCTGTAATAGAACTAAGCTCAGGTCAGCGGCGCATACGTACGCGACACGAAAATCTGCCAAAACTCTAAAACTACATTGACGCAACGTATCACGTGACGAAACGGATACGTGATGCGGATGGGAAAAATTCCGCTTGCCAAAAGTCTCTATGATGCCATTCCGTATATCTTATGAGTTAGTATTTCATGTGGCGATTTTTTAGCATATGCAAAACATATCTGATACAGGTTAAACTGGGGTCATAGCTATTCATTATGATTTCAATTATTCATAATGACTCGGGTCGTTTTAAAGCAAGTAGAATACCCAATGTCACATTATTGGAACATGTCATATATTGTAATATGTATAGTTATTGAAAGCGAAATAGAATGAAAATTATTGTTGATGTACTGATTGTATTCTATTTAAAATGGTTTGAATTATGGTTATAATCTAGTATTTATAAAATGTATTAAGAATTTAGCGAACTTTGTTGCACTGGGCCATGGATAGTGTTTATTTTAGCTGTAGAGGTTATGGTACATATCAGTTTCGGGAGAACACTTTTAGTCGGATCATGTCGAAACAGAGATCTTTATAAATTTTAACTAAGATAAAATCCACATTTTAGTAATTTGATTGGATAATATGAGATTGATTTTAGTGCTTAACCAATCAAAATTGAAGTATCTACTAAAATTTGGATTTAATCTTTAGTTAAGATCTCGAAAAATAAGGCACAGATGCTATAAATATACATGTAGTTACTTACAAACATATCCGTGTATAGAGTGTCGCCATAAGGAACACCTGCATCAGATGTAATTTTAGCAGAAACTTCATCATCACCAGCAACTGTTTCGTCCAAAAGTGAGAATTCAAATAATGCTAAAAAGAAAATATAAAGCCTTAAAAATAGTTATGTAAAAGTATGCCTATTTAATCGATTTCTGGCGTTGTTTTTTTTTAAACAAATGAATATTCCACTGAAACCACATTATAGTTCAAATTATGGTTCAAAGTCTTTGTTTTACACAGTCGGAGCAGAACAGTAGGACGTACGTTAAACCCTATATCATTCTGTTTTTACACGGCACTCGCTAAGTCCCTACTTTCACCTTATAAAATACCCTGTCCAATCAAACGTTGTGGCGATATATGTGTGCATTTCTGAGAGAAGTTGTTGAGGGGTATTTACATGTCACCAAGGAATTAAAATTCATAATGCATATGTAAATTAATTGGTGGATTATGACCTGCATATAATAATTTGCCATCGGTTCTAGCAATATATAGATATAGATAGTAGAAGAAAATAGATAGTACTAACCTAGGGGAGGTAATGTCTCTATAATAAAGAAAAAATCAGAACGTAAATTATGTGCGACACATGTTATCATAATGCCGAAGATTTGGCTGTAGGTTCTATTTGTTAATTGTTATTTAAAATGATTGCCATGAAAATCTCAACGTTATAAACAACAAATAATGATAAGACGGTTTCCGCCGTGAAATAAATACTTAATATCAAAAATGATTACAATTATCATTTTATACAATAAAATCTAAGGTTTTCATCGGGCTGTATTATTATAGGTTATAAATATAATCTTATGTATAGTGTATAAAATTGAGTTTAAATAATATTTTACTTAATGTATTTACCGTCAATTAGTCCTGAAATAGAAATAAAAATTAAATATATTATAGATTATTATCAGACTATGAATAGACTTTGTAAGCAGTCCATTATTTCGTGAAGCCTATCAAGATAAACAATCAAGGAATCGGACTTTTCTACAAGGCCCATTCCACTACGGCCAATGCTGAGATTAATACTTGACGGGCTGAAGTATCGACAGTAGAGATTTATGGTATAATTGAATAAAGGGTCTATTTTAAGAAAATTTTCTCGGAGCACGTCCCCCTGGCAACGTTAATTCTAGGGGGTCCCCCACCTACGGCTTTGGAAATTTTTGAAAAATACATGGTCACTAGCGTCAATTTGGCATATGTCTGCGGTAACTCGACAAGGCCAGTGCCAAAACATAGAAATTGACAAACTAGACTGTGTGAGAGCCTATGGTCCATACCTATTATTAATTCATAACGATGAATGATGCAACTGAAGAATAATAAGTTCGAAATGTATGCATGATGCGGCGGAAATCCGATTTTTTTAAACAATTTAAAACCCCCTCAAGAGTAGAATCTATAGCGTATATTCAGAAACAATACTTCCCGTCACATGCTTGGCGCGGCGTATAGCGACAAAACAACGAATCAAACATATCTGAGTATGGTACAATGATGAGCCTCTCTTTTATGATACCTGGCGCGCCTTTTTGCCCAAACTGAAACTTTCTGAGAGCACGTCCTTTTTTCTCAGAGCACGGTTTTCGCTCTTCAAAGCACGATCGTACTCCCAAGTACGTTAAAATAGGCTCTGATTGATTTTGGTTCTCTTAACAGAAAATATTATTATGAAGTCGTTGACGGTGTAAGCTGAAATTAAAGATACATGATGGGAGATTTTAATAGAGAGTTGGCCATTCTTGATATAACAGTTCAAAAATAGATGATGAAAGAAGAATATATTGAAAATTTCAGTCAAATTACTTTATTCTGAACAAAGTTATCACCATTGTAATTTTTGACTAGAAATAGGAGTCAACTCTCTCTTCACCGTCTCCGAGAATGGCCGGTCGTTTGATTGACAGGCGTTAACTCCACCTACATAATCTCGATTATCAAGTAACGTTTTCAATGGCTGTGGTACCGTTAGTCATTGCCATTGGGTTTGAGACGGGGTTGCAATTCAATTCGTATCACATTTATTTTTACTACAAATTAAAAATAAGACTTTTAATATATAGATAAGAAGCGAAAGTTTGAAAGGAATGGACCAAATCAATGAGGCATAATTATAGCCGACTTCTTGTTAGCCTGCGTGTACCGTAACTGGTAGGCCTACGTAACTCCCGAAGCAGACAAATAGGAAACAGTGATCCAATCGGGCTGTAATTAAGCTGGGGTGATGCGATGTTTATCCATTTCCATAATTTTTCTGTAAACGCAAGTGACCGACATAATATAATATGTCGTATAATACCGACATCCAAACTCTCATTTTAACCACAACTAAACATAATATCAAGGCCGTATATATCGAACTTTCAATCAAATTGACTGGCATGCGGCCTCGCTAAACAGCGGCATCGCTTCGTACACTCTATCATTTAGCCTCGATCTAAAATTTCCGGGAAGATGACGTCAACGTAACGGTTAATCTCTGCTTACGACGCTATTTAAAAAAAATTAATCGGTCAATGAAATCCTGTTTAAATCCAAGCCGAATCCAAGCCATCTGTGGGTCTACAGAGCTGATTTTGTGCTTGTTGTGTAAATAAATATCTAATTTATAATTTCTATCACATCTGAAGCCTAAATAAAGACTTGCAATAATCAGATTTACATGTAGCTCTTGCATAATGTATGTTTAACTTTAAATAGATTCCCACTCACCACCACCACTGCCTTCATTCTCTGTCTGTCTTTTTGGTCTTGAGAGTAGTTTTTCATTAGCTAGCAACAAGTATTCATCTTTTAGAAGTGTTCCAACAGAAAATTCAACGGGAGAATATAACAGGTCTCCATTTTTCGAATTGTTACCATTTGGCAAAAACGACGTCGTTTGCAGTAAATTGTTAAAATTTTCATCCTCCTGTATGTCTTAACAAAAGAAACAGGAATGTCACATTCAAAATTTTAATATATACTGAGCGCCATATAATATAATATATATATATATAATATTATGCAATACTATGAACTATTGTTTCACACAATGCTCCCAAACGCAAAAAATATCGGCACGAGATGCACATGAAAAACCCAATATTCACGTGCAGCATTGTGTGTGAGCCCTTTAAAAGCATGTTTTCAACTTAACGTGCAGTACATGAACTGTGAAACGTCAATCTGTCGTAATTTATTGTTGGACGTGTGAAGAAATCGAGCTTGAGATGCCGAGACTTACTGAAAATCAACGGAATGAAGCCATGGGAATGTCCCGGGCTGGCATGTCTACACGTGCTATTGCCAGACACTTCAATTGTCATCAGTCCACTATTGTAAGGTTGGTGGAACGTGTTCGAGTTACTAGATCAACACGTGACCGTCAACGTCCTGGTCCACAACGCGTTACAACCCAGGCTCCAGACCGCTACATCCGGGCCACTCATCTGCGTGACAGTTTCCGCCCAGCGACTCGAACAGGAGCAGCAGTCGTCGGAAGACAAGGACCAGTAAGTGCCAACACCGTAAGACGTCGTCTAAGAGAAGTAGGAACCCGTGCACGACGACCTTATGTTGGAGCTATCCTCAGGGCGGGCCACTCATCTGCGTGACAGTTTCCGCCCAGCGACTCGAACAGGTGCAGCAGTCGTCGGAAGACAAGGACCAGTAAGTGCCAACACCGTAAGACGTCGTCTAAGAGAAGTAGGAACCCGTGCACGACGACCTTATGTTGGAGCTATCCTCAGGGATCGTCACCGTCAGCGGCATTTGATATGGGCTCAAGGACACCAGACATGGAGAAGAGTAGACTGGCAAAGTGTGCTCTTCAGTGATGAGAGTCGCTTTCATCTTTATCACGCTGATGGCCGTCAACGTGTGTGGAGACGTCTTGCAGACTGCTGCGTCTTCGAAACGAATCGATGGGGTGGGTGAAGTGTAATGGTGTGGGGAGGCTTCACATTTCATCACCGGACCGCCCTACACATTTGCAGGGGTCGCGTTAATGCTGTAGCCCACCGTGATGATGGCCCGTGGAGGACACACGCGCTACTGACATCTGTGTCGTACTTTTGGTTTTGACCCCTCTGACTTTGTAACCTTGATTACAGATTAAACATCCATAAGTGTACAAATGTGTTGTTATTGATGTGTTCCCATTTGAATATTGTTCACAATAAGAAGCAAAATAAATAAGATATGTTTACAGGATCATTTTGTTACACGAAAAACTAAGTGATGCGTTTTCCATCGCGCTCAGTAATATAATAAAACAAGTCAAACATTGATGAATTGATCTAACCTAACGCTTTAGTTATACTTCAGTTAAATCCATTTTGATTTCTGAAAATATGACTAAAAAAGCAAACAAACAGAGGTTTATTTTTAGGGCGGGACGATTTGCCCAATACCATCCAATTTTACCCAATACCTCAAAATATCACCCCAATCCCACCCCATTTTTTATTTTTTTTTTATTTTTACGGCGGGACGATTTACCCAATACTACCCAATACCACCCAATATCTTAACATACTACCAAGTACTACAACATAATGATGCAAAATGTGCATATTACTTGAATTTTTAGAAAAATACCGAGTTATATCGCGGGAAATGCACTTCATGTTTGCCTGCCTATATCACCCAAAACAAGCAAATGATAACCCAATACTACCAAATACTTATCAAATACTACCCAATATTATCAAGGAATAACCTAATATCGTCAAATAGCACCACATCAGTATAATTACTGCAACGAATATTCGATAATTTGCAGAAAATTGGAATATTTACGCCATATCATGCCGTTGCAGTTACCTCCCTTTAGTTTAAACAATATTTTATTCAATAAGCTGAATTGGATTGAACAACAGGGAAAGGCCTATATAAGTTCTCTCCAGAACCGATAACTAGATTTTAGATTACTACCCATATTAATCATTTTGTTACAAGGCCGTAACTAGCTCAGAGCAACGACGAGGGGGCGGGAAGTGTTCTCAGGGGTGCTGTAAAATTGACGGACAATGTATATCTATTTTGTTATGGTCGACAATTTTTTCACAGAGGGGTGGGGGGGGACTTTTTGCAGGTGGGGGCTTCGCCCCACTACGCCCCCTCGCCCATTAGTTACGGGCCTCTCTTGTTGGGCTATGTAGTTGGTTTCCAACAAGACGAAGTTAAAGGAGCTAAGTCTCTAACTCAATATCATCCAAAATCTTCAACATTGAAAACACGATTTATTTGTCAAATTAAATTAACATTCATGTTGTGATCTTACCGGAAAAAGATGGGCTTTTGATATCCAATATTTAAGACAAAATAAACATTTTACCATTGGTAAACGAATCGTGTACCATAATGCGCTTCAGCCCCAGTTGCATCAAGAGACTCGAGGGACGAGGCTAGACACATTGCACCAAATCAAACGGCTTATGTAGACTGGAATAACCAGACGCTAGAAATTTGCACTCGCTTGAGACTGCTGGCTTATTTCGCCGAACATAACTGATTTGAAATTGGAGTAAAAACGGAAACCATTGAATGTAAATCAGTTTATATACATTCATATTACAGTATTATATGCGTTGCGACCCACTTTTGTCAATTTCTAGGTCCCAAATGTTAGCGATTTAGCTCCTTTAAGAAGATATATTTTAATCAGTATAATGAAAATTAAATAAAAAAATCGCTAACAAACTGTATCGCCATCAGTCTATAAATAACTGTCAACCCTTCATGGGTATCGTCGGGCGGTGGCAATTAAAAATTTTATTACATATGTAACAAAGATTTATTGTTTGGCAGCAAATTGTATTACCTTTTAAAAACAATATTTATTTATTAAATATAAGCAATTCATAAAATTAATTGCCAAACGTTGTTCTACACACGAATGCGCTACCCGATGAGATAACGAGTCGTTTGGAAGTTAATTTTATTACCTTATAAGAACAAAATTCGTGCGTAGAACGTTTTACAGTTAATTTTATAAATTATTTTTATTTAATAGTTAATTTTATGAATATATTAATGCATATTTAGAAATTTGTAATTTCAATTCTTATATCATTCATATATAGGCTATGCATTAAATCTGTTACATCTGTAATAAAATGTTGTTATTGCCACCGCCCGACGATACCCATGAAGGGATTGGATGTTATTTTCATATATAATAATACAGTTGTTAGTGATTTTTGATGGTGTGTTCCCACTTAGCCGGCAGACTGTTAATCCTTTGATTAATCTTAAAACTATAGTCTGTTTAAAAGTAGTCACCCAAGAACTGTTCACTAGTGTTCAGCGTTAATGAGCTCTTAATCCCTCTAAATAAAATTTATTAACCAACTAATTAATGACATTTTGAACACAGTTCATGCCGGCGTTATGATTTCAAACATGAATTCAATTCACTATATTAATATAAATAGATGCTCGATCTGTGTCGAAATTATATTTATTTTAAAATGGCAAACGTTCAGGTTAATATTCGCTTTATCTCCAATAATCCTAGGTGGCCGATATTTAATAAAAGTTAAATGTGTAAATTGTAATGCATTTTTATATGTGTAAATCATTTAATGTTATTTAATAAATATTAAATTTGTTAAAATCAATATATTTTTATATGTGTAAGCTATTTAATGTTATTTAATAAAAGTTAAATTTGTTAAAATCAATACAGTTTTAGTCTTAAAAAAGATATGGACTATAGTCTATAACACCATTGTTCTAGGATTAACTCTGGATTAGCGGCAAAATTTGACATCAAAGCCTGCCGGCTAAGTGGGAACACCCCTTTTTGATTTAATGATACGGGCCTGCAACTGCAAAGCCCTGCCATTATGATTAATCTGAGTAGCAATCAACAGTCATTTAGCTTTTTAAAGTGAGATAATTGTGTAAATATTTAAATTATCTGCAAATTATCGAATATTCGTTGCAGTGATTATACTGATGCGTTGTTATTTGACGATATTAAGTTATTATTTGATAATATTGGGTAGTATTTGATAATATTGGGTAGTAATATTGGGTAGTATTTGATAATATTGGGTAGTATTTGACAATTGTTTGGTAGTATTAGATTATTATTTGCTTGTTTTAGCTGATATAGGGAGGCAAATGGAACAGCCAGATATCGGCAATGAAATTTGATGTGCATTTCCCGCGATATAACTCACTAATTTTGAAAAATTTCAAATAATATGCACATTTTGCATCATTATTTTGTAGTATTGGGTAGTATGTGGAGATATTGGGGTGGTATTGGGTATTATTGGGTAGTATTGGGTAAATCACCCCGCCCCTATTTTTAATATGTATGAAAATGACCAACACGTCAATATTGGATTGTTTACTATTAAATATAGATACCTTTAACATAAATTGTATTTCCAAACTTTAACAAAACTAAAACCACAAGAACTTGTCTGTATTTGTTAATATCTAGAAAATAAAGAAAACATTGAACTACCTGTGACTCTCTATCATAAAACAAGCAACACGGCAAATAATATACATTATTTCATAGTGACACTTATTGCGTGTTTTTAATGCTAATAATTAAAATATCAACTTTGTAAATCTGATATTACCGAGCTGGTCCAATATTATTTGGTACAATACGGCCCAGTTGGTGCTGAAGTGACATTAAACATCATATCATCATAGCTTAACTACTTTGCGAGTAAACTAATCAAGGATGAAAAAAGAAAAAATATGGTCTGTTTTGGTTAGAGAGAGAGAGAGAGAGAGAGAGAGAGAGAGAGAGAGAAATGGGGTTTAACGTCCACTCGACACAAACTAGGTCATTTCGGGACTACCATATGGTTCAATTTTATTTCCATAATTTGCTTGCGCGTAGGGGTCTTTAGCAGTGGGAGGAAACCGGAGGACCCGGAGAAAACCCACGAAGTTGGACAGGCGACCCTACTCCTTGTCACGTGTTTTGGTTAGAAACTACACTATAGTCCAGGAACGGGGGAATGGGACAAAAGGCAACCGTGTTGTACTGACGGTGGCTTTGGCAAGCATATAAGATACATTTGTTATATGGGGGAAAATAACAGAATATTTACTATAATACTTCAAAGAGGAGACAAAGTGTCTGTTTTTAGATAAGAGGTCAAAAGATTATCACGATCACGATCCGCTTCACAACAGCGGCACGCCCATTCTTTCTAAGAAATGAAAATCTGGGTCCATGTTTCAAACTTCCAAAGTAGATAGCGGTATCTGGCGTAGTAGAAGCTGATATTTGAATTGAAATAATGTGTTGCCTAGTATACCGGAGATATAACGAATAGAGGATGGGGGATACGTGATAATGTTTTAAATTAAAACTTTCTCAGTTGTAATTTGTATAAATTTGACAAGAATATTGATAACCACAAAATTTAAATACAAACGTCATTAGAACTGACAAAATGTTGGTAAATTACGACTATCGATAATGGCCGTGGTAAAATGTATTAATAATGGTTATGTAAGATTATAGCGTAGACAACGTGTTTACTTTGTTCAACATCGTGACTGGGCGTGACACTGATTTTAACCGACAGTATCGTATTACAAATTCCTTACCGTGAAGACATCAACGTAGGGATTTAATGTCCACTTCAAACTCCACGCAATACAACTAAAATTATTTTAAAGGACTAAGGCGCGGGTATCGGATGGGGCGAATACCTGGGGTCCCGCGCACACATTGGTGTGCACGTTAAGGATCCATCGACAGTATGAATTCGATATAAGTCTAGGCCGTAGTGCCGCTGTCCGGGCAAAATTGCTTCCATCAAACACTGTATGGCGCATGCCCGTCTTCGGCGCAGAACAGTAGGACGTTAAACTCTATTTCATTTCATTTCTATCTTATTCTATCTTAGTTAATGGGGAAATAGCAAATATCAAATAGCCGCATCATGTTCTACTTAATTTAATGTAAATAAAGACGGTCGCATGCTCTGACCATAGTTGAAACAAATAATTTGCATAAGGAATAAGATTTTGTTGGGAGTATCTATCTATCTTGGCGTGTGTACAGGCGTGGGTCTACGGCTATACACAGAATTCAACACATAGGCGACCAACAACCACAGACGTTGACCACCATTAATTTCCTCTATTGAACTTAGTGTTAATTCTGGTCTCGTTTTCCGGATTCATTTTTCCCCAGATTTTCGTTTGGCTGAATACTCTCCACTTCCGATGGAGCAAAATCTGGTCATATCTTTGCTCCATTGAACTGTTCAGATGCACAAATTTGAAGTAGCATACTATAAACCATTCTCGGTATCCCCAGTGGTTTCATTCCGTTCTACTCCACTAACCCCTGGTTTAATCTATGGGGGAGACACGTTTTCAAATATTCGCCCTTGATGACTGCTATTTTTATCGACCAATCCCATGCATCGTTAATTGAAAAAGAAGTTGGCAAAGGGAAGTAACTCTCTTCGGACAAGTTTAGGAGTTAACCTAAATGAGAAAAGTTCAAATTCTTCTAAATGCGTACTTACTATCAACAAAGTATATAATATGAAATTAATGAAGACCGGACCAAATTGCCAAGTATAAGTTCAATAATAAAACACATAACAGAATGAAACATTTCAGATAAAGAACGAATAGTAATATTAATAACAAAAGTCAAACATATAGATGTTATACATATTTGAAATCAGCGAAACATACTACATATTTTGATAATATAATTAATTATAAATGAATTAGAACTATATACATTATTTACACAAATCATTCAGTAAATTGACATGAATTTGATTAATTACCCTTCTAAAATTGAAGGCGAAACGACTGGTTTGTAAACTGTTTCTTGATTGGTTCGTAGACCTTATCTACAAACAAGGCCAGGGCAGATAATTTGAAATCGTGGAAACCCTTTGGATTAACCCAGGGTATAGTGAAGTAGAACGGAATAAAAACACTGGGGATACCGAGGATGACTATAAACATGTAACTATTCACCCTACATATCACAGCAACCGTCTTCTTTACTGTGTGTATGTTATCGTCGGCTGTATTCACAAGAAATCGCAAGACGGCGATACTGAATAAAAAGATTTAGGACTACATGTATGACATCTGAAGAACAGGGACAAATGTAACGTCCAAAATAGTGCAAAAAATAGATATGGTTTTAAACATTATTAGTGTTTCTAAAATAGATAAAAATAACTAAGAATGCAATAAATAAAAAAAACAACTATGCGCTAGGTAGAAGAAAGGAGTAATTCTTCTCCAAAACCTCTTTTTAAAAAGACCATCCAAACACAAAGAAGAAGAAAACATTATAAAAGACCCAGTGGATCGTCAAAATATTTTTAATTATAAAGACTGACATACAAGGCACGCCCTACTTTTCCTTGATGAAAAGATGTAAAAGTGATCACTGCTGTGATAGATTTACCTTAAGATTCGCTATAGATATCATAGAAGTGAGGATATGTATATTTCATACACCATAATTATCTAGCTAACAAAAGATGGACAGCTAGGTCTATGGCGTACTATCATCAATAACTTTGGGCGTGATAAGATCTCCCGCTTAGCCGTATTATGCAAATCATATCATGCGTTTAGAACGTGAGAGTTTTGGACAAATATTGGAGGTATATGCAACCACAGATAGATAAAACGACTTTCTGTAATCTATAACACGTGAAACCTAAACCTTACGTAATGTATTAGAATATTTACTCAATGTGTTTGCAGACGGCACACAAAATGCGTATTTCCATAAAAAAGGAAATATAAGCAACACCACTATCACATTTATTTGTATGCCCGGGCGAATAAAGTACGTATCTGAGATGTACTAAATGGGCCTAAATTAATTCCAAGTCCCCGTTTTTTTTATGTTATCCATCTCTTTGAGATAAGACTCGCATGAAGACCCATACACAATACACCTGTAATCGCGTTTAGATTTTATTAATGCTCGATACAATCTGAGCAAGAGCTTTCTTCTCCCAAGTGTATGATAAGACTTTCAATATGTCGATGATTTTCAGACATTTCTTCTTAAGGTTTTTGACTTATTTCTTATCAAATATAAAACTAAAAATTTCACTTAATTTACAACTGGAATGGGAATGTTTTCATGTGCTAACTCTGGATTCGGATACAAACAGTCTTGGATTTCGAAAATCAGTTGGCCATTGTTGAAACAAATTCATATAAAACTAAAATTGGCGTAAAGTTTTCTGCATGTTTGTTGGCCCGTAACGCGTAATTGATCAAGATCCTTCAATCCCACTTTAAGGCACGCCAGTATTGAGGAAATAAGTCAGAGAAAATTGGTGATAGGCGTATCTTTTAATAGATTGGAAATGAAGAGGGATGGGCGACCCCGCAGATCAAGTTTATTCGGGTTAAAAGTACGGGGCCTTACTTTAAAATGGGAGTGGGGGTGGTGGATAGCCGAATGGTTAGCGCGTGCGCGTTGTATCATACAGTTTGTCATTGAGTCATTCGGCGTGGTTTCGATTCCCCGGCTGTTTCCCTTCGTCAGTGGTGTAGGATTAAAACAAGCCAACAGTGAGACTGATGTCCCCCGCCGAAATCCCAAAATATCAATTAATCGAACATTTATTTTTTTCAAAAGTATCGAGCAATGAAACTACACACTAAGTTTCATCACTCTCTATCAGATAGAATCAAGATTATCTTGTCCGAAAGGATCGACCAATGAAATTGATTAGCTCTGCTTAGTTTTAGCTTGAAATGTTAATCATTGAAATCAGTCAAGACATTCACCTAATGAACATCTACATCAGGTTTAAACATTCTACCTCAATTAAAAGCAGAGTTTTTATGTTCCAAAGTCTTGACCAATCAAATTGCCTATCGTTCCTTAGCCCAGGCAGAAAATTCGTACAATCGAACTTAGTCAAGGTAATGATATAATGAATCTATATTCAGAGTTTCATCGCTCTCACTTCATTATAACCAAAGTTATCGTGCTCCTAAAGCATCAACCAATCAGATTGCTTATCTCTTCCTACCGTAAGCAGACAATGTTCATCATCGAACCCCATCAAGGGATTCACCTAATGAATGCCTACACCAAGTTTGAACATTCTACCTCAAGTAGAAGGAGAGTTATTGTGTTCCAAAGTCTCGACCAATCAAATTGCTTATCGCTCTGCTTACCCTCAGCAGAAAATGTTCATTATCGAACTTAGTCAAGGTATTGATGTAATAAAGCTATAACCCAAGTGTCCTCACTCTCACTTAATTAGAACTAAAGTTATCGTGTCCAAAAGCATCAACCAATCAAATTGCTGATTCCTTGAAGATATTTGCCAATAAAGATTTGAGTTGAGGAAGTTCATTGAGCACAAACATGAAAAAAGTACACTGTTATATTTATACGCAGTAATTCGCCTTGATAATTTAGAGGGGGTTTATTGTCCATTCGACCACACTTTTCGACCAATCAGAATCGAGGAAATTTCTAATTTGTTCTACAATACTTTATATTGGCTCATTGATTAATATATGTTTCTTTTATGCATAATATGACAATGTGAAATAGCTTACAATTACACTTGGTCACATAATATATGCTTAAATTATATATTCAATTATTCATTAATAGATAATTTGTAATTGGTGTTTTAATTTTCAATAAATCTTTACTTGTGGCATCATGTTCATTCGTTAATAAACCCAGTTCGACGTCAAATAATTATTTCTTGAATAATAAATATTGTGAGAGTACTGTGCTTCGACGTATTAGAGCTACGCACCCAGAGCATAAGAAGTCCTAATATACGTCAAGATAAAACAAACAGAGCACGCTCGCAAAATTGGGAATAACTTCCCACTAAATACCTTACTGGGAATATATCTTTTAAAATCTCGGCGAACCAGTGATACTATTAGATCATTTTGGTTGCATTGATAGTTTTTGGAAAAAATACTATTTTTTGTGACAAACGATCATGCTGTTAGAATGATATGGTGTTACAAAACGTGCAGTGAACCACTGGAATAAAACGTTACTTAAGAGCTAAATCTGTCTATTGCAGGTCTTTCTTTAGGCCTGAAATGTTATCCAAATTAATAATTAGACATTAATGAACCTATCCAGACAATAATCAACCCTAGACGGCATCGCTAGCCTGCGATCTTTAGTGGATTATGAGCCGATTTACTGCACAACTTTCCTTCACGATTTAACGATTAAATGGATAGTCGAGACTATGCTGTTTATCGTACTGACTTTAGTAATGATGATCGAGGCTAGGCGGAAATTTCAATAACTTAGTTCTCGGTTCATAGTGGATCAATTTGAATGAAATATTCAGCAAATTGCCATTACATTATCTAGTTTTTAACTATTATAGTGAGAACTGCCAACTCGTTATCGAATCTCCCATAATGTATCTTTAAGCCATTTTCTTACAAATATTTTATATACGATTTCACACAAACAGTTAGTCATTTGAGTTTACAATGAAATCAGAACTATGAAAATTCCAATTTCAGAGTTTTACTTAAATTTCGAAAATGAAAGAAGTTTTATTACGTTTTGAATGAAATGATTAGAATGGGGTTTAATGTGTTAATTTTCTATACATTGTGAATTACATTTAGATGTTGAAAGTTGACTGGTAGTTATGTCTTTAATTTGAAAATAAACGTTTCGACCTTTATGTATAGCACGTTTCAATTGATGGCCATTGGAGTCGGCCTTAAATCTCATTCCAAATTGCATCAATGGGGTGAAATATCATTAGATCCGAGTGAATCCTGCTAAACTAAACACAATTTCAATCGTTCGAACCATATGGTATTCAACTGCATTAACTTTTTAGCGTGGCAATTCTTTCTTATCAAACAACATAATAATTCTGATCATACATATTGCTGGTTTGGTAACCTTTAGGCACAATTCCAGCTGTCAGTAATCAAATAAAATTAGAGTCTAATCGAACGATATCCGCAAATTCTGTTGGATCGAAAGGTGATTTCGATCGATATAACGATACTTCGATTAAAACTATAAACAAATTATTCTAGACCTAGCGACTATATTTGATCTGCGGATATTTAATTCCAATAATATCAGCAACAGCAATCAAATTATTTATCAGTAGATCGAGTTAATCCCACTAGATTTAGCATAAATTTGATCTCATGAAATACCATCGCCACATCGAACGAAATTATCTTTTGATTCAATGAAAATTAATATCTCCGTGTTTCATACAGAAATTAAATCATAAACAAAAATTGTACATACGTTGTTCGAGATTTGTTTAAAGTTTGTGCTTACCTTTAAATACTCCCATTCCTACTTTCTTTGGACAGACCAGCTGTCTCCACACTCGGATATTCCTGGATCATGAAATATTTAAATATTATAATACTATTTTATAGTACACTCTATGTTTACTCAACATTAGATTAACAATTACGATATCATTTTCAGATAAACACGAATTATAAAATTTGAACACCAAGTCACGTTTCGAAATCACAACTTTCTTTCTTGTTTTGCAGTCTTATTTTCATTTGAACAAGGATTGTAAGAAAAACTGCACATGTTTTGAACATCAAACAATCACGGATTCAGAGAAAAAATTCCAAATATCTCAATTTATCACTAGCCCTTAAAAAATACAATAACACGTGTTCGTAGTATGTGATCGCAATGAATTACATTCTATAATCAAAACAAAATAATTTTAAATTTAGTCTTGGAAATAAGGTAAAAAAAGCAAATGTATCGCACCGATATTCCTGCTCAGATTAATCGTACAAAATTTAGCGTCGTTATTATATTTACGTATTTCAATAGGACGCAGCAAGACCCTATCATTGACAAAATACAATGACGATATCATTTTAACCAATGAAATAGCTTCTTTGGTCTCTCCTTGAATAAATGAAAAACTATAGTGTAGATAATGCTTGGTTAAGCATGTCTTAAACGATTTTAACAATTATATGAATTGATGGGTAAAGAGATCCAATTCACAGGATGACAAAGTTACTGGCTTTAACGACAGTGACGACGCACACATTTCTAACTGATTAAAATACAATACTTTCTATGAGCTATATCAAATATATCGTAAAGACTACTTCTGGATTGTTCTGCTTTAGGAATCTTTAGACGGAATATTGTTTGTTAGATTTAATATCCACACCGGTAAAATTAACATATACGTGTAAAACATCATTGATCTTAAAACTAGTTTTATGTTGCCTGTAATTATTTATTTTGACGTGTCATCGCATGCGTTTATGTTTTCGGGTAATTGATATCCTAGCTGGTACATACATTAGGCACCAAAAAATAACCTGCCACTTTGTTTCTTATCCCCAATTGGCGTGGTATTCTGCAAACAGATTCCAAAATTTCAGTATTTACAATAGTCCGAATCACCATGATTGTCTAGAATCTTACTCAGCAATAAACACTTTACCGTGTTTAAAATGACAAGACAGTGGTCATATAATACAGATATCGTTGTAGGGTATTAATTTATTAGTTCAGAACTGTAGGACGTTAAACCCCATTTCATTTCATTTTATTAGTTCAGATTTTCCGGTCGGTCGATCCTTTTTTGGGCGACCAAGTAACACAAAACACGTGTATTTTTTGCTTGGCCTTAGTAATATTCTTGAAATTGATACGACAGATAACGATGTACATATTACAATGTTATAAAGGTATATTGATTATATGACCCCGCCTTTGTCGTTCGTTATGGGGTTTGTCTTCTGGAAATGACTAGATTTATAGTATTAGTTTTGATCATCTAACTGTTGTACAACCTGCAAAATTAAATTATGGGTTGGTTAAGCTAATATTAATCGTTTGGTGGGCTGTTTAGTAATATCACGAATCTTTCATTGATCGTTGAAAATCAATTGCTAATTTTCTTTCAAATAAGACAGTCAATCCATTTAGCATATTTCTTTCGGTTGATGTTGTATTTTCAGAAACCACGAGTTTCCGATTTTGCTATCGTTTTCAAATTACACGAAATTGTCTAGTGGCAGCTTGTACAACAGCGATAATTTCAAATTTTAACAAACAAATGGAAGCCCGAAGCCGTTGCCACTCTACTCTATCTCTCTACACGTCGCTGGGCTACGCGACGTCATTTATAGTCTGTACATCTCACCTAGTTCATTGATCAAGATAACGAATAAGCGTATGGAACCGTCACATTGAAACATATCTTTTTATTATAATGAATACATGTAGATGACGTTCTAATTTTACATCTGTTGCTTGTCTAATTGCGTCAAACGGAAATTGGAAACTTACCCGTCTATCTAATCTGATATACTAGTCTAATAATAGTCTAATAAATCAAATTTCATTTACTACTACTGTAACACTATGGGGTCTCAGTTTAATATAGAAATTCTTTACCGACATGATGTGTGACGAAAACTTGGGTAATGAAGTAGCTTGCATTATTTTACTACTATCTTAGACTTACTTACCGACAGTTATGTCAGTATCCATTGCTGGAAGTAGGATACTATCGTCCAGTCATCTCGTACACGGATTAGTACAATTAACTAGAATAGTGTTGACGTAAATCGTTGCCTATACGAAACACTTACCCAAAATGGTAATTGTCCCGCCCTAATACCTGACGCATTATACTTTTATATAGGAGAGAGCGGGTTTGATTTACTCTTAGACATCATGATGAGACCGTAGAGAAGACATAATCTGTGAGTTCCTAGGGGAACGTCATACCCACAGAGTTATAAAGGATGTTAACCCCAGACCGTGGATATTTTAATAACTCCTAAAGTATCTATAACAGATATTGTAATTTTCCTGTATTTAACCTTTGTAGTTTGCTGTATTCGATATATATAAACATAGTTACCACATACACAGTTTTCCAGAGTCCGTTAATTGATGATTGAAATAATTGATCCCACAACGTGAAGTCAACGAAAGTCCTTGACGATAGTGTCACAGTCTATCTCTTATTTGGAGTCCGTGACCAGGATAGTCACATCTACCCCTTAGTGCCATACTGCTACTACACCACGATTATCCTACTTGTAGCAAAATAAGCGTTTTATGAAAAAGTTAATTTGTAGGATGCCTAAAAAGGTATGCTATCGGCAGTATACGCCTGTTTAAGTTTTGATATATGTATGTATTCACATTAACGATTAGTACAAAAACAAAGTAAAAATGATCTAGTATCATTTCAAGCAGACCCGTTTGGACAAATAAATTTTACATTGATTAGCCACTGCAAAATCCGATCTTATATCTTGGACATCTTTGGTAATGCTTATATTCCAGTTCGGGATATTTGTTTTCAAAATGAAAATATATGTTAAAAATATTAGAAATCGGCCACCTTATGCCATCTATCAGTTCTTTTGGAGTTTGGTCGATCGCTAAGGAGATGTTTAATGTGACGAAGTTTGTTTGTCTCTGCAAGACCCCAAGACCGTTTTCAGCGACCATAAATGAAACGATTTATGCATGACTTAAGATCTTGATTTGGTATTAAAATCACTGAGAGTCAGCTAAACCTGCTTGATCACTTCACTTTATATCCGCATGAATGGGTAGCCAGCAAAGAACGATAGCGGTGTCGACAAACTCTCAAGCTAGAAACAGACGATACATGTCTGCTACAAATGGGTGATCAAGTTATTTATTGTTTACTGCTTGAAGTGAGGATGGGACACAATTGTTATTGTTTACTGAGTTTACCATTATTAGTTCTTAATAATACTTTGGTGCTATTACCTTTTTAAAGATGGTGTATTAGTAACCTTTTTATTTGGTCGGATACTTTACCGTTGAATGTAAGGATATTTCTGACCGATGTAGTTCTTGGTTTAGCTGAACTGGTACTAGGAAGCTGTGAAGAAATGTTTGAAATTATAAAAATCTTTGGAAAGGCTGTCGGGGTGACTGATCTCCTTTTGCTTGCACGGTCAAACAAGAAAATGATGTAATCATGATGCAATATTAGACTTTTTAACACTTTCATCGAAAACCACACAGTTTTTCTCTGTTAACATAGTTTCAAGTGCCAAATTGTGGTCAAATCTAAGATGTTGAAACATGCAGTGCCTATCAATTTTAAAATATCTCCTATATAGCTGTATTTCCATAGGAAATAATCTGATTATGTAACACTTACAACAGCTTTTTCATCCCCACCCCCCAGTATGGGAATCTGATAATTTAAAAGCACATGAATTTTGAATTCCACAGAACATTTTTATTTTTGAACATAAATGCATTCTGTAAAAAGATGAGATGAATAAATCAAACACGAAAATACTTTAAAACAGTAATTATGATGCAATATTAGACTTGTTAACACTTTCATCGAAAACCACACAGGGAAATAATTACTAGTCTTAATCCTATGTACAGACGCTGTGCTGCTATTACGGACACTCGCGGTGGACACACCAGATACTGATGTATAGACTGTACAGACTCTAAACCTTCCCGTAATGTCTTGGAATTACGATGAATTAATCACTAATGTGTCAACATACTGTTCACAAAAAATTGCTTTCATCCATTTAGTAAGTTGTTTTCTAGAATGATTTGATTAAAGTGTCTCTCTGATTTTGAAATGGTACTGACGTTTTTTTTGCTGTTTAGTATATATTTTATTTAAGTTCATCGTTAACAAAAAATTATCAAAATTTGACAAAATATCGCCAATTACTATTTTGAGTTAATAGCATGCTACCGAAATACAAATAACTATTTTCCATGGCTTTAAAAATACCTCCGTTCTACACAAGGATTAGCAAAATTTGTTATTAATTTTGATAAGCCACTATCCTTGAGGTGTAATTAGTCTTCTAAATCCGATGTGACAATGTTATTATTTGAAATTAACTCCCAATGATGATTGTCTATGACCAACGACGTTAAAGAGGGCCGCTTGTCTATTCAATGTCATATTGCTAGTTATAACAACCCGAGACCGAAAAACTGTGACCTATCCTGCCATGTTGAATTTATTTGCAAACTTCCTTATATAAATATGCTTTCAGATTATATTCGAATTGTCGCGTTCATATACCCAAAATATCGTTGATACCTACATGTATAAATAAATAAATACACGATTAATTTAATAACTTAATAAATTATGTTTTATATATGTTATCCTCCCACCCGGAATACAAAGAAACTTTGGCATTTACCTTTCCTTGCAAACGTTTTAAAATATAATCTCCTAAAATAACTACAGAAAAATGTCTCTCTGGAATGCACCAAAAATCAACATGGCCTAAATTGTCAGAATTACTAATTCTAACAACCCATAAATTCAAAGGTATTCCTATTTTATCATGAAAGAAACCCTTCTTACTGGGGTATATTAACGCATGTTTGTCCCCTTTATAAGTCAAAATTACAAAATGTTTTGCCATTGCTAAAAGGGCTGGGAACCATATTGGCAGAAATTGAAGGGCTGGGACTATTGTGGTACACTCTGCATTCTGGTCCTGTATAAACTTTAAGAGTGGTAAAATTAGACAAACGGCGGGAAAACAGTAGTTTTCATTCATTGACGGCGTTTCAGAGAACACATTAGTTCCCCCAGGAAAGAGTGGTATTTAAAGGTCAAACTGCACGCAGCGATCCATCTACGTCATACTTCGAGAATAATGATCACTGCCCTAGTTAGCCTCCATTTAAAACGCTCACGTGATCATTTTGGGGCGGGACTTATCGACTGGACTACAGCTGAAATTTTGCACAAGGGAGACATTCCTCACAACACCGGCCATGGTGAATTGACAAATCTCGCGTTGATAAACGAGATGATGTTTTATTTTTAGCGACACTGACGCGCACCGCGTGCTAGGGT